CAGATATCATCGTGGATGTGGTTTTTAATGATTGGGGAGGGGGGAAGACAGCCTGTGGAGACAGCAATTTGAGACAGCGGCGCATTTAGGTTATTGCCAATTTGAAATACTGGGTTTGTGAAGCCGAGCCCTAAGGGACAAGCTCGGTAACCGAGAAAGAGATCGTAGATAAAGAAATAAAAATGACAACCGTGGTGGGGGCCCTGCAAGGGGACCATCAGGGCATCAGTGTGTGGATGGCAATTTCGCCCGGCTGAGATTGAATAATTCATAGATTGAAATTACCCGGCTTTCACCTTTCCATTTAAACCGGCATGATCTGAATCTCTAATAAATTTTCAAGATAAAGTAAAATGCCAATTTGAGTCTGAAGAGCTTTTAAAAGCAGATGCTGCATCCCCGAGTCTTTGGGCACCTTTCACCGTTATCCTGTGAGAGAGCTGGGCTTCCGTCCCCAAGCCCCATTATGGGGGAAATGACGGTGATTACGATAGCAACAATAGAATGCCATCAAATGATCTCTAATTTACCTAATTTGCTAAGACTGACTGTGGTTTTAACTCCCATTGTGTGTCACCATGCCCGGGATCCGAGGATCTATCTCGCGCTGGAACAAAAGTGGGGTGGCGTGTGTCCTAGTTACCTCCGAGAGACCAGCCTCTTAGGTTACAATGTCTCTTTCAAATGGTTTGCATTTTTGCATCTTTTTTTTTTTTTTTTTCCTAATGCCACTATCCTATATTCCTGTTTGGGGAGAATGGTGAGCCTGTCATGAGACGGGGGTTTATTCTTTGTTAGGGGACAGCATTGACTTGTTAATTTAGACACCTTCTTTGTTTAGTACATAGAGCATGTGTTTACCAGGAGGGAGGAAAGATTCTGAGAGTAGCTGAGTAACGCAGCCAAGATGAAGGGACACCCCCGTCTGCTTCCAGGTTAGAAATCCTTCCGGGGAGCTGTCATCTTGGTGCGGTGTGTTACGAACCGCCCAGACTGAAAAGCAGCCCAGGTGGCGCGGCCGGTGATCACCCCTGTGGGCTCTCGCCAGCGGCGGAGCGAAGCTCTCGGGCGACGGGTTTTGTCTGTGTCTGCTCAGTGTGGAGAGGTCTGTGCTCCTGGGGAAGCTTTTCTCCGACCTGCTGCCCTGTTGGTCCGAGGGCAGTGGTGCCATCCCGAGAGGACAGGGTGGCATGGATCACAAATCCTCCCTGGAGAACAGACTCTAGCCACTTAATAGGCACAATGACTTTTTGGAATTTTCCTTCCAATAGCAGGAAGATGGCAGGTGGGTCGCCGCCAATCAGTGGTGTGTCTGGGTCTTTTGCCTCAGGTAGGGTTCTGAGGCAGGTCTCAAACACACCTGTCTGGTATTCCGGGGGGTTTTGCGTGAGACTCTCAGCTCTGATATGTGCCTTAACTCATCATCACGGCTTCACCCCTGCCAGGGTCCAGCACCCACAAGCACCTCGTCACAAAGAGGTAAGCTGTGCTTCTAATCATTTATATAATCCAATGTGCTCTTCATTGTCTGATCTTGGTGATTCTGTTATCGTTTCTTCCCACGAGTTATTCTTACTGCCCTCCGGGGTGACTCGCAACTGCTTTTATTTCTGTGTTTCTCTAAGTTCAAATGAAAACATGGTGTTTTTAAAAGTGATTTAAATTTAGTTTTTGTTCTCTTTATCTAGCAAAATACATTCAAGGTTTTAATGCTTTTCAAAGGGAGGGAGGAAACAGTTTTACTTAGTGAATAATTTGTTAAAAATAGTAAGGAATTCACTGGGTATCAATTCTCTTTCTACATTGTTTTCTTTGGATGGTTCTCATTTCTAATACTGAGCCCATTATTCTTATCTTTCGAGAAAGAAGCTCTGCTGCTAGTGACAAAAGACTTTTTAAACCCACACTGCTTCTGTGCCAGAGTGTTTTCTTTTTTTTCTGAACACATCGTCTTGATATTCAGCAAAGGGTTTTTGATTTCTGGCATCCTAAGTCTCTTTGATATTCGAAGTTTGAGCAGAGTCACCATTGATTGAGCAGAGGGGTGAACAGGTCTGGTATTTAAGGAACACACGGTATCCAAAAATATCTAAGAATAATTCAAAATCAAACCTTTATCACTTTGGGGAAACTCATTAGAGACAAATTATGTTCCTTTGATAAGCATGGCAACTTTGGGACCTATTATTTTTTGAATCAAGTATTTGTGCTTCAGAGTTCTGGGCAATGAGATTTGCTTTGTTTCTTTAGGATGCAAGGGCCGGAATATTAGTTTTTTTATTTAAAATATGAGCAAGAATTTACTCCTGTGTTCTAGTGTTTGATGAGATTGAAATTCACTTGTTTTATCACAAAAATCAGATTTATCCCATAGAACTGCTGCCTCAAAAATCTTGAGTTCTACTATCACTTTGAAGTCAAATTTCCTTTTCAAACTTTAAGTGATTGAGAACGATATTTTAAAAGAAGTTCGTTAGTTAATTTTGATCCATTTTTGACAACTCTTCCACTATTTATGGACACATCCTACTTATACAGCTCCGGATATGTATGATATAGGAGGAAAAGACTACAAGGAATATTATTTGAAAATAAAAAATCACCACGAAAAACAATGAGCAGGGGATAATTGAGGTGAAATTGTAGACAACAATGGCTTAACGTTGAATTTTAGGGTTTTTTTTTTTTTCTCTTTCTGCTTGTTTTTTTGGTGAACATGAGTCACGTAAAAAAAAAACAAAAAAACAAAAAACCCTCCGTCTTTTCTCCGAGTCGTCAGCTACAGTCACAAGGAATGAGAACACATTAACACATTCAGAGAATCCACAGACTGTCTCTCCTTTAAGATTGGACATGCAAGTTCTGTCACAAATTGTCATTGCTGCCCATTAGTTTATATGGAGTTTCATCTTCTTACCCTAAAGTTCAACTTGGAGAAAGAAACGAAACAACATAAAACGAAACAGTCAAAATTCTTCATGGGCAATATCTTCACTGAACATCTGTTAACTAGTCAGCAAATGCCTTGGTGAATAGATGTGTTTCACAGGGAGTCAAATAGGATATTCATCGTTGGCAACTGCAGCTGGATTTCTCTGATCAAACTATTTTACGAGAACAATGAATGCCTGGCATAATTCCTCCTAAGTTTTAAATGCCTTTGCCCAATACCAATATTTGTACTCTACTAGTCTGCCGCAGAAGAAAAGATGGGGAAGACAAAAGAATTAGGTAAAGATGAAAGAAAACACTCCATTATTGGTACATATTTTTCCCCCAATGGAATGATCAAACAAGGTAGATAATGTCTGCAGATAGTTTGTTCTTTTCTTTCTTTCTTTCCTTTTTTTTTTTTAAAGAAACTGTTCTCTCTAGTAAGAACCTTTTAAATATTCTATTAGGAAAATATTCAAACGTAGAGAAAAGAAAAAAAAACCCAAACTGTAAGTAGCTGTACCCCAGCCACCCAAACTCTGTAAATAACATTCAACTCTACTTGCTTTATTACATATCTATGCAATTACCCATCTCTTGATTCACCTATCAATCCATCTAATTTTTTTGGATGTATTCCAAAGTGAGTTGCAGACAGACATCAATACTCTTCACCCCTAAGGATATGCCTGCTGACGTGTTTAACCAGAATTCAACATTTGTTGACAGTGATTTCTTTTAAGTAAAATTTGTATGTGATGAAGATAGAATTTGGGGGTGGGGAAAAGCACTGTTGGTTTGTGTGTGTGTGTGTGTGTGTGTGTGTGTGTGTGTGTGTGGCACAAACTCTCTCTTTAGTATGAGGAGGGCAGGATGCAAACCCTCAGGACTCTATATTATGACTGGGAAGGTACAAGTCCCTGGTTTATGGCAAGGGAGACATTTGAGGTAGAGGCAGATGAGCCCTCCCCAGCCTCCGCCCGTCCAGGCCCAGCCTCACCCAGCAGGCCCGTCATCAGCGTGGGGATGGGAGGTGCAGGCCTCCGTGGTGATTCCCAGGGTCTGCTCTTGCCTCTGGATGGGCTTTCCTTTCTCTTGGGGGCACAGGCGAAGCAACCCAGTGGCCTCTTGGGCAATCGCCCTGTCTACTGCAGCTGCAGCCCAGTGGCCTCTTGAGCAATCGCCCCGCCCCTCGACCGCAGCCTCCTCTGCCCCTTCTGCTGCTCCCCAACCTTCCCCCCTTGGCTTTCTCGTCTCCACTGTCTCCTGACTCCTCGTGCTTCTCTTCTCACGGGGACCCATCTCATCATTTCCCAGGTCGCTCTGCAGCATGCATTTTCATGGAAATGACTAAAGGAAGCCAAGAACAGGGATCCGTATCTTTGGGTCTGATGAGTAGCGAGAGGAGGGTGGCCCTCTCCAGACCCCTTCGCTCAGCTGCCTCTTGCATCTGGTCCTGGGCTGAGATTAGTCGCTGCTCTCTTGACCCCACACCAAGCTCCTCTGAGATTTGTGTCTCTGTACCACCGAAGAATGGGGACGTTCCAGAATGTGCCAGTGTTCCAGACGGCAGCTTCCACCACCGGCTTCAGTCCACAACATTCGCATTCAGAAGCAGCAGGGCCTTGGGCCCTGTCCTTGGCTCTGGGGGATGAGGGGGTTCCCGAGCTGCACCCAGGAGCAGCCCCTCCTCGGTGGTGTCTCCCGGGCCCTTCTCCGTCCGTTAGGTTCCGCAGCCCACGGTTTTCACAGGACAGTCTGTGCGAGGCCTTTCCTGCCTGGAATTCTTCCCATTTGCCAATTTTCATGAGATCGTATTTGACTGGAACAGACTGGCGGAGAGTCCAGGTTTTGTAGCAAAACAAATCTGGATCGTAACTTTGGTTTTGCCGCAAACCCGGCAGCGAGACGGCAGGCAGGCTAGTGGGTGAGCCTTACTTCTTCAAAGTGTGGCCGTGAGTCTCGGATGACGTCGGTGTGTACAGGCAGTGCACAGGTGCAGTGTGTTCCCCATGCCTCGTACGTGTCCGTGGGCACGTCTGTGTCTGGCGTGGTGCCTGGCACCCGCTGGATCACCCTGTGAACCCACTGTGCTCTATTCCGGTGTCACAGAATGCCCCCATCCTGGAAGCCAGCTGGCCCTCCACCCGCCGGCCTCCTCTGTGCGACCTCCCACGCTGCCTGGTTTTCCAGGGTCCACGCTTGCTCACCCCAAGGGAAATCCCACTCAAGTTCTTCCTTGAGCTCTAAAAATATCCCGTCTTCCGGCCCAGGGTGGAGCCCAGTGAAGGACGAAGCCCCTTCAGGGGGGTGTCCAGATCTTCCCAGGTGTCCCCCAGGAGAGTGGGCCTTTCGGAACTCAAGGTCACAAGATCAAATGGTGGAAGTAGGACTAAAATCTCATTTTAATAAAGGGGAAAAGCAGAGGGCCTTCCCCTCCAGGAGGGTCAAAGAGTAACTCATGCAAGATCAGCTTCCCACACGTCCTCTCCTGACTCTTGATCATGGAGGACACAGGATGGAATGCAGCGGATGACGGGGGTTCCACATGGGAAATAGGGCCCTTAGACCCATGTTTATAGAGGCCACTGGCTGGATCCATGCCTCACAGGGCCACACTCTGCCCCTCGGCTTTCCCTGTCATGTCCCCACCCACAGGGCCAGGAGTGAGTGGACCAAGGAGACATGTCACCCGGAGCCTGGGACGCTCTGCATGGCCAGACCTTGGAGTCCTGATCTACCGCTGCTCCAGGGCCTGCAGACTTCTGCGCAGGGACAAGCTGTACCGCCAGTGCACGCTCTCCTGGGTCTCATGGGTGGATGGGGGAGCAAGAGAGAGCTGGGGGAGTGCTGAGGGAGGGGACGGGCAGCCAGCCTGAGGGTACCCACCGCATTCTGGTACAGAACACCAGAAATGGGGAGAATCCTAAATTTGATCCTGGTCTTAGGAAGATGTATTGGTCAAGGTCAGAGCAGAGACCATGTGTGAGTTAGTAAGATGCTTGTTTGATTAGGACTTTGGGCATCAAGCATGTGCCACGGAGGTCCCGGTCTGTACCCTTGCCCCACCAGGCCCTGCTCACTTTGGGTTGGGTACCAATTGGAGCCGGGTCTCAGACCCCCAAGAAACTGATCAGTGTGCCATTGTTGTACGGTGGGTGGCTAAATTCTTTACCGTTGGGACAGAGGGAAGGGGGCTGTTTGCTGGCTAAACCCTGGGAAGCCTGTTTCCTTAGTGAGGTCTGCCGTCTACACGTGTTTTTGAAAGTTGGTACATTCTACAATGGCAGAAGTTCTGTGCTGTATCGATGTAGCTTCCAACAAGTGGAAACAATTCTCTCCCCTTCTCTCTATTTCTACTCTTATATCAAAGGCATAAAACAACATGGAGCAAATTTTATCATTTTCTCAATTCCCAAATGAAAATTCAAAGGGCAAAAAGAAGGAAATTTAGAAGTACGGAAAAGTGACAGTCTAAGAAGAAATGTAAATCTCACCCAGAGTCCTGCTGCTTGTCAGCGGGACACTGTCACGGCCCCGTCTCAGCTGTGAGGGTGCGCAGCACATCCTGGGTGCAGCCTGACGTTGCACACCTGCTTGGTAAGCTTCTGGGGGGGGGTGTCATTGTTGTTTTTGTTGGTTTGTTGTTGTTGCCATCTGAGAATTGAACTCCACACACACTCCACCAGCCTTCGATCAATTTACACCCTCAGCTCTTTTTATTTTGAGACAGGGTCTCGATAGGTTGCTGAGGCTGGCCTTGAACTTGTGATCCTCCTGCCTCAGCCTCCAGAGTCGCTGAGATCACAGGCGTGTGCCACCAAACCCTGTTGTAACCTACTTTAAAAAAAAATGTGTTTACTGGGTACGTTTCCAGATGACTGAAACAGTGTTTTACGAGGCATCAGGTCTTTCCAGACTTTTATTATCATAAAGGTAGCTGGACGACTTCTTGGAATTTTAATCTGGAACAATGGAGACTCTATTGGGAACACTGGCCTGTTTCCTAGGCTGATCCTCTTCCCTTTTTTCTCCTGAAGCCTTCATGGGGCCGCAGACTGGGGCAATCTGGGTCTTCCTTGGTCCTGGAGGCAAAACAACAGCCCCTGTTTTCAAAAGTGTGTCCCTAGGGGGATGAGCAAGCTGGGAGGCCCAACATCTCCGAGTCAGAGGTAGGAGAGGGGTGAGGCTCTGCTCTGAGCATGTCCAGGAGGCTGGAGTCCTCGGGAGACAGGTGGCCACCTGGGGCAGCAGAATCCAGGAGTCGGTGGTGACCCCTGGGTCCTCCCCCGGATCCTTGTGGCCTTATAAAGGCTTCGCCGAGGGACTGGCCATGCTGGCAACTAGGAAGATGTATTGGTCAAGGTCAGAGCAGAGACCATGTGTGAGTTAGTAAGATGCTTGTTTGATTAGGACTTTGGGCATCAAGCATGTGCCACGGAGGTCCCGGTCTGTACCCTTGCCCCACCAGGCCCTGCTAACTTTGGGTTGGGTACCAACTGGAGCCAAATTCCTGTCATGCCAACCCAAGGTTGGGCCACCATCCCGAGGGATGGAGCCGAGAGACTGAAACTTGAAAAAGAAAAGAAAGAAAAGGTGGTCACCCACCCTGGAGGGTGGCGATACACGAGTCTTAATTTGTTTAGAAAGATGATATGGTGCTAAGCATCAAGAGAAATTACGTCCCTTTCCTAAATAACACCCTTGTTTATGTGTGACTTAGTATTCCTGATAATTCCCTTAGGATAAGTTCCTGGAAATGAAATGAACAGAAAAAGAGGAAGGCCCACGGCTTTCTGTATGTGCTGTATTGTATTTGGGAGTTGTTGTATTTTTCAAGTCCACGGATTCCTCTATTTATCTCTGACAAAATTCTAGTAGAGAAAAGAGGAAAAGCAAAATTAGCCAAGCTGATTGATCATTAAGTATAATCGACCATGAAGTGTAAATTTCCATTTTTAATCTACTCCATCCCAGAAGACTTCAATTGCTTTATTGATAAGCCCAGGAGATAGTTAATCATTAAGTATTTAAACAAACAGTAATAAACTTGCACATGAGAAAGTGACACACACACTTTATCAGTTAGGGAGACTGTCAAGAAACTCTCTAAAAGGCCAGAAACAGAGAGGTGTTAGAATAACACGCCCAATCCCTGCAAAACCCGCCTCCCAGCTCTTCCCAGCCCTAAGGAAACTTTCACAGACTCCGGGGCCTGCCCCAGCAGCCCGTCCTTGGGACGCGATCGTCTTTACTGAATGAGGACATTTGTTACGGGGTAATTGGGGGAAAACAAGACTACTTGGGCTTATAGCGTTTTCAAGCATTTCTGCACACGTCTGACTTGACCAGTGTGGAACTAACCAGAGAGAAAGTGGAAACTGAGGCCCAGAAAGGTCAAAGGTCTCGCCAGAGATGCCACAGCATCAAGAGGCAGGAGGGGCCGGGCGGCTCCCGTGGCTCAGCTCTCGGGAGGCCGCTGTATTTCTCACGTGACGCAGCTCCATCTTTGGAAGACACGACGTGTGCCCAGGTACAAGGTGCTGAAGACAGTTGAGACAGTGGTGTAAAACCTGGGGGAAGGTCAGCGGACTGGAGAGGTGGAGTGGCCCGGCGAGGGACAGGAATGAGGAGGACCCGGGTTTAGGAGAAGGTCGGGGGACGACTCGTCTGGCCCCTGGGCTTGAAAGCGGATCAGAGACCGACACCACGTTTACAGAGGGCTTTAAGGCAACCCAAATCATTCTGCTCTTCCTTCCTCCCTGTCTGCTTCTAGGCCTAGGAACCTGCAAAACCTGCCTCTGACTCTTGCTCACAGCCACACCACGGCGCCGTTCACCACCCACTCAGGAGGCGGCTGCCCGTGCCCACGCCCTCCACACCTGCAGACACGGTGACCGTCCCATTTCAGAGGCGGTGGTCCGTCTCCTGCTGGACAGCTTCCTCTGCTCAGTCTTCATACCTGGCTCTCAGAGGACCGAGGAGGCAAGAAGCACTGCTCCTGATCTCAGCTGAGTTGATGCTCAAGAGGAATGAACACTCTCCAACATTTCACACCCCAGGGCTGGGCACAGCGATGCCTGGGAGGCTGCGGCAGGAGGATCACAAGTTTGAGGCCCACCTGGGCAACTTAGCGAGACTGTCTCAAAAACTCAAAATGGAGAGTACTGGGAATGTAGCTCAGTGCTGAAGCACCCTGGGCTAAACCCCTATCATCTTACCAAAGGACTGCATGGGTTATGAGACAACTGGAGAGCACAAGACCATTCGGATCTGCAGCGTTTTCAAGCATTTCTGCACCCATCTCATTCGACCCATGAGAAACAAACCAGTAAGAATGTGGAGACTGAGGCCCAGCGAGGTCAAAGGTCTCTCCTGAGATGCTGCAGCATCAAGAGGCAGGACTGGGATTGTGCCCAGCTCCCTCAAAATCCCAAAAGAATCTCAGGCCCCAAATACCACCGAGAAAGGCACCGTGACAGAGGTGCTTGGCTTCATTGGCCTTCGCTGGACTCTTATGGTCAACGGATCCTTTAGTCGAATTTGCAGGGGGGCTGAAGTCCCCTCTCTGGACCTGCTTTGCCAATGAGGTCGCAGCTGGTCTTCCTTCACCACTTTCGGTTTTCCCGCTGCTCCCACCTGAGCTGTCTCACGCCTCTCACTGCCCTGGACTCAGCCCACCTGGGAGCCCAACAGCCAGCGCTGCTCCCGATGGTCCACTGCAGACGGCTCAGGGCCCACATGGCCAGCCGGGCTCTTTCCTCGCTCCTTGGAGGATTTTCCCTCGCAGGAGCCGCCTTCCCCGTCTGGGGCTGCCGAGGACCACCAGGACCACCTCACACAGACCAGCTCTCCCGGGAGCTAAAGGTCTGAAAGAAGCTCTGAGGATGAGCAGTGTGGGGCAGGGGAGGTACTGAACAACTTTAACACCAGGTTCACCTTTTAATTCTTGCACCAGGAACCCGACTATTTTAACAGACCAACCTTCAATGTTCCTGAGTCCTGGTCTCAGAAGTGATTCCTTGGGTTAGCAATGGTGGGCCTTGGGAGAAGGTCAGTTTACAGGAGGAGGCATCAAGATTTCAGGCAGAAAGTGTGCGAGGTGGGCTGAATCAGAGCCGTCTTCCACCCTGGCTTGGCCACCGACTAGCCGTGTGGCTCTGAGAGGTTTGTTTATTCTCCCTGGGCCTCAGTTTTTCAATTTTAAAAATGTAGGGAACAGCAACTCCTGGAAATGTCATGAGTGCTAGCTATGCACATCCAACACGTAGAACACTCAGTGAGTAGGTGCTCAATAAAAACCAGTTTGGACCCAATGCATCCGAAATGACCTACAGTGCGCTTCACACAGAGCCTGGTGTGAGGTGCAAACAGGCACCGTCCGATATTGAAACTGCAAAGGCCAGAGATGCTCGTGGGTTTCCCTAAACGAATCTGGTCATGCCAATAAAAGTAAATATGCATGAAAGAGATCATTTGTCTGGATATTATGAAACCTAGTTCTAGTTCCCATTCTGGTCATTTAAAAGACCAGAGGGAGGGGTGCCTTATAGGACATCTCTAAACCTGGTGCAGCAAGGGGGCTCTGTGTCAGTCATTCTCGTGTTTTCTGGCTAACGAGGCCCGGCTGGATGGAATCTTTTGCGGGTTTGCAAAGTTGAGGCTGCTGGCACAGCGACATTGCACCACATTTGCAGATCTTGGGCAAGTTCACAATGATGCATTGTCTTCCCTCCTCCGGGGCACGAAGGGTTGTCTGGAAAAGGCCTGCTGCTGCCATTAGGAGCCTGGGCCGCCAAGTCTACAGGGCGACGTGAAACAGAAATAAACCACAGGCTCTCAACACGTTTGCAAGTGATTTACAAATGTGTTTACTTTAAAAATAAGCATAACACACAGTCTTGTATAATATTATGTCTAGAGAAGTTTTGTGACTGTAACGTGCCCACAGCAGATGCAAGTCATGCCTTCTCTTCTATCTGGTAGGGACTCTCAGCTTTATCCCAGTGCATTTTGGTAAACTAAACACATCTTGATTTCCTGATATTTTGCTTATATCTCACTTTTATTGAGTACTTTTTTCTTGCATACTTGAAACCGTGTTTGAGTAAGAGGAACAGCATGACACTGAGAATTGCTAAAACAAAGCACCTTTCAAGCTTCCCAACGAGGTGGATGGAGGAGGGAGGCTGAAACTGGGGGGATGGCCATCCTGCATTCTTTGGTACTTCACAGGCTGTGAAAGGTAGAGGACGTGAGTTTGCAATTGTGAATCAAAGGATCACAGAGCGAATGGAATCATCTGGTCTGACTCCAGGTCTCATGCAACCAAATGCCTCAATCTCTGAGACACATCATAAAGAGCATTTCTCAACATGAAGCTCTTGAAACACAGAGGCCTGGGTAGCCTGGCTCGAAGGTTGGGAAAGGTTTTTCTATGTCCAAGTGAAACTTCTCTTGCCTCCTTAATATATGCGGAAAGTAGCCAGCCAGTGCTCTTGTGGTTGACAACAGGCTGAGTGGGCCAACCCTGGTTCCTACTCACTTTCCCAGGTGGCTTTGCCTCTGGGAGGAAAGGTGTGAAACGTGTGGGTCAGTGGGCAAATACCTACTGGGTTAGCGTGAAGCAGGGCTCTGAGATAGCTTTGATTTTCTCCATAAAAGATGACAAATTGTCCAGCAATGCTACTTTTCTTGTCTTGGATGCAAATGTAATGCCTGGAGTTGCACTACCATCTTGGGGTCATGAGGGAAAGACCTAAGGAATCAGCCGATCCACCCCCAGTAAGTAACCTCTCACCTCCAAACTTGTAAGAAAAATCTACCTCTACTCCCTTAGGTCACTCTTGTTGGGTTTTCTATTATTTGCAATTGACGTTGACCTACCTAAAAGATTTCTTGTGGCTGAAAAAACAAATCCATGCACTTCCCGAGACAGCTGTGTTCCTACTGCAGCTCTATAAACTCCTTCCATCCCCAGGTGAATCAGTCTCCTGAAGGTGCTGGTTCTTTGCCACCCCCTCTCTGCTGATCGCTGCTCAACTGCCATCCCTGAGCCTGCCCCGTCCTCAAGACCACATGTCCTGAGTGTGTGTGTGTGTGTGGGGGGGGGGGTGACAATGATGGAATTGATTTAGTTTCTCGTAGTTATTAGTTTGAAGAACAGAGTCACTGACTCTTCCTGATTTAACTGCACAGAACAAACTGTTGACTCACAGTGCCGTCACCTGCGTCTGCCAGTCCCTGAGACTCACAGAAGAGCAAGACAAACACTGAGAGGGACAAAGACACTACCTCCCGGCCATCAGCCACGTAGAAAATGCCACCTGCAGTTTTCCGTCACTCCAGGTAATCACGGACCTTCTGCCACCGAAAATAAAAAAATAGAACTCAATTTCTCTTAGAATAAGCAAAACTATCCTTAGAAATTAGATAGCTACTAACTTTTAAAAAGATGGTTGCATTAGATTTTCTTTAAGTCTCCTTCCTGCTCTGTCTTTGGAGAAATGGCTGCTCTGGGGCTGGGGTGGGTACCCTCCTGGAAGGCGCTGGTGTGCCAGAGGCCAGAAATCACTGGAAGAGCTGGGGAGTCGTGTGGGAAGGCCCAGAGCCAGCTGGCGAGGTTCCACCTGGCCCAAACCCAGGGCAACTTGAGCCTCGTCATGCAGACTTATATCACCAGTTTTAACCCATCAAACCAAACAGGAAACAACGAGTCCTCACGTATTAATAAGCCATGTGAAAATCTGACCCTGAAGTTTCACTTCTCCACATGGGTTTTCACTAGGAAGGGGAAATCTCGCCCTGCAGGGGAGAAGCCTGGCAACCTTGTTGGAAGCAGGGACCTGAGGCCACCTGTAAGGGACAGAGTGCAATCGTGCACCACTTAGCGGGGTGGGGGGAGGGCGCTCAGGGCCCCTCTGTGCTCCCCCAGATGCGCAGCCTGAGTCTGACCTGGGGAGCAGCCCAGCGTCCACAGGAAGTAATGTCCTGCTGGGTGCAGCTCCTGCTTGCCTCAGAAGTACGTCGGGCTCAGGAAAGGAAAAGGTCCAGCATCTCTTTCCAACTAAAGACAGGTGAAAGGCCGCCATGCGTGGCTCTGGACTGGATCCTTGGGTTATAAGGAACACCTCTGAGGCTGTTGGAGAGACTTAACGGTGTCTGAGGATTCGGGGACACCCCATGTCAGTGTGAGTTTTCTTTGATGCATGTATTGTGGTCCTGTAGGAGAACCTTCCCTGACGGCAGGAAAAACCTGCCGTAAAGTATTCTGGGTGATGGGACATTAGGCCACCAACGTGCCCTCCTGGATTTCTGTGATTTTGTGATTATTTTGAAAGTTAAAAATAAAGTGTTGTCTATAATGAGTCTAAAGATCACAGTGAATCTTAAAAGCAAAACCAACAGTTTCCCACCATTAAAGATCTGACGGCCACCTGTTTGCTGTGGAGTTTGCATGAGGAGAAACTCAGCTTTGTTGTAGGAAATGAGTGGATATATAGCCCATAGGGCAGGCTCATGCTAGACACCTATTGGATGCAAGGCAAGGCGCTAAAAGGAGTTTTTGGAAACGAGTCTTATGTGACTGTTTGCAAAAAGCCCCCAATCTGCCTACATGCACGACCCTGATGGCAATTCCATTGCATATGATTCTAGTAGATAATACATTCATTCAAAACTTTTTTTTTGTACCAGGGATTGAACCCAGGGGTGCTTAACCACTGAGCCATGTCCCCAGCCCTTTTTCCTATTTTAATTAGGGGTAGGGTCTCACTGAGTTGCTTAGGGCCTTGCTAAGTTGCTAAAGATGGCTTCAAACTCAAGATCCTCCTGCCTCAGCCTCCTGAGCCACTGGGATTACAGGCATGCTCCACTATGCCTGGCCTTTCTTCAGATTTTCCCCCCAAATGTTATGCATGCAAATAAATGCAAGAATAAAGGAAATTCCACTATGGGTTCACAGTTGGTGTGATAGTGCAAAAGAGAACGATCACATTTGTGGTAAACTGTAATTCTTGGAGCCTGACTCCTGTGACATACCCTTGTATATGCAGCACATGTCTCGCAGCCTTTTGTGTGTGTGTGTGTCAGGGATTGAACCCGGGGACACTTAACCACTGAGCCACATCCCCAGCCCTTTCTAGTTTTTGTTTTGAGACAGGGTCTTGCTAGGTTGCTCAGAGTCTCACTAAGGCTGGCTTTGAACTTGTGTTCCCCCGGCCTCAGCCTCCCGAGCCGATGGGCATTTGGTAGACTTGGTCCAGCCCCTCTGGGGCTCTCATCTTTGATCTTCACTGTGGAATGGGTGACCCGTGTATTGGAATCAGACTTGCAATATTAGGGATGATTTATTTAAAGCAACGGATACTCCAAAAAGTCCAGTCGCCTGGTGGCTCATGGGGCCTGGCGGGTTCCACGGTGGAGAGAAGAGCAGCAGCTCACTGTAGAGTGTGCCTCCTCTACATCCTTTCAACTCCACACGTGCGAGCCAAGTCCAGATGTGACCACAGCCCTCATCGAGTTTCTCCCAGGCCCTGAGTGTAGATTTCTTTCCTCACCAGAGTCACACACCAGGGACAGCAGTGTAACTCCTGTAGATTTCAAATCGCCGTGCACAAGACAGAGAGACCCAAGGAGGTTTCCAGTTTAAATGTTCAGGGAGGAAGCCTTTTCCGTTTTTGAGTCTGGACTCCAACTAGACCAGGGTCACTTAGTTACGGTTGCCTAACCAGATCTTAGGGGACGAGCTTTTGGGTGATTGGCTAAGGCGAGTCTTTTCTTCATTTTGGTAAAGATCTCGTTCTTATTTCTGTGGTCATGTTCTGATGGGAGCCAGGGGTCAGTCACTTGTTTAACAAATGCTCTGAGGGCCCACGGCCTGCCCATGAGCAGGGGCCTACCCTTGGGCAGGGCCACCAGGGCCCTTGTTTTTGTGGACTTTGCTGCTGTGTGGATGCTCTGGGGTGGGCTGCAAGGCATTCCAGTGAGGGAAACTTGGGAGTTCACCCAGATCCAGGCACCAGCCAAACACACACTTGCCTGGTCGGGTTACAACCACTTTTTTTCCTAAAAAAAATAGAGTGAACAACATTTTGAGAGCTTTTGGAATTCTGCGGGGTTTGGGGCACTTGTTGTTGAATCCACATGCCACATAGATATCTTGCCTGTGTTTCATGCACAATGAGGACCCTCTGACCAATTTTCTGGTTTGTTTTTTTCAGATATTGGAATTAATCTGCCCCGTTCCACCCACATCTTCCTGCCTGTTTCTTTGACTTTGAAAGGAACACCCCCCCCCTGACTTCAGTGAGACTAAGTGGGGAACTAACATTTAAAAAGGAGCACTAATGACCACGTCCTTGTGGGCTCTGGCTTTGTGGCGGTGTGC